TCTTTTTGTTTATTTTCAAAAGCAAATTTTCCCCTCGAGTGCATCAATGAAATATCTTCGAGACGCGCAGTGTTCACCAGGCATTTCCTCGGCGTCGCAGAAATGTCGCCGCCGCTCTTCGCTGCGGCCTCGCGGCTCACCTCCGGCTGCTTCTCGCGGATGGACACGCTCGCAGAATCCTTCTCATTTTCCCCGCGTCTCCTCTCTCTCTATCTCCTCTCGCCCGTCTTATCTCTCATATCCCGAGGTTTCTGCTCTGGCTGCTCCGGCTCCTGACGGCGGGGCGACGAGGGTTCGAGGCTGAAGAAGCAACCTGTCGAAGGAGAGAACGAGGTTGGTGAGACGAGGGCGACATAGGGCCTGGAGGAGGACCCGGCTTCGCTCTCAGCAATTAATCTACTTCAGAAGATAAAAGGGAAAAGAGAGATGTGTGGATGGAGGAGCGAAGGAAAGAGGAGAAGGAGGAGGAGAGGAGGGAGCAAAGCAAATATAAAAAGGACGAGAGACAAGAGAGTGAAGGAAAGCGAAGCACTGAATCTAATCACAACGTAAATAAAGAACTGCCTTTCGCAAAACAAAAGCCATCTTCCAAGGAATAAACACCAAAGCATTACGAATCTAAACAGAGCAACGGAATGCTATGAACCTTCCCCTCCTTCTTCCTCTCTCTCTGTTCCTAACGCATCCGGCATTGAACCCGTTCACTCTGCGCCTGTGTTGCAGAACAGCATCAACAAATGTGCAACGTAGCGCCTCGCCGACTTTTTACTGATCCCGACCGTATGTGGCCGCCTCGCCGGCCCGCAGAGGAAGCCGGGCAAGTGGCTTCGCCCCAGCGGGAGCCGGGCGGCGGCGGCGGCGAAAGGCAGGGAAGAAGAGAGGAAGGGAGGAAGGAGAGGGCGGTATGGAAGGAGAGAGAGGGAGAAGGATAGAGATGAAGAGAGGAATAGAAGTATAAAGAGAGAGGGAGAGGCAGAGAGAGAGAGAGAGAGAGAAAGACTGACAGAGACAGAGTCCCCGGGCCACCAGAGCCGCACAGACGCGATATATATATATATATATTATATATATATATATATATATATATATATATAATATATAGAGAGAGAGAGAGAGAGAGAGAGAGAGAGAGAGAGAGAGAGAGAGAGAGAGAAGAGAGAGAGAGAGACAGACAGACAGACAGAGAGAGAGAGAGAGAGACAGACAGACAGAGAGAGGTGATTGGGGTAAACGGAAAGAGACAGAGATTAGCCTCTCGTGCCATTCTAAAATCGTCCAAATATAGGATGGCATTAATTGGCGCCTCGAAGCAGCTCCCTAAGTCGACACGCAGCCGGAGGGACGCGTGTTCAAGCATCGCAGGCGGAGCTCAGGCGGCCAAGGGGCGTCGGGAGAGGTCCCTAGGGGCGCTCTCTCGCTGTCGGTCTCACGGTCTCTCTTTCCCTCTCGCTCTCTCTCTTTCGCTCTCGCTCTCGCTCTCGCTCTCGCTCTCTCTCTCTCTCTCTCTCTCTCTCTCTCTCTGCCTCTTTTCATCTTCCAATCTTTCCTGGCTAACCATTTCTTTTCTTTCTTTCTTTTTTCTTTCCCTTCTTTCATTTTTCCTCCCTCCCTCAATTCATCCAACCTTCCCTCCCTCCTTCTTGCTTTCCCTTCTTCTTCCCTCTCCTTCCTTTTTTCCTTCCTTCCCTCTCCCTCCTCTCCCTCCTCTCTTCCCTTTTCCTCTCCTCCTCCTTCCTTTTCCCCTCCCTCCCTCCTTCTTCCTTCTTCCTCCCTCTTTCCTTCCTTCCCTCTTCCACCTTCCTTCCTCCTTCCACCTTTCCTTCCTCCATCCATCCTCCCTCCCTCCCTCTCTCCTTTCCTTCCTTTCCCCTCCCTCTTTCCAGAGACGAGGCGGGGGGGGGGGGGCATTCCTTCACTTCCCTGAGGCCAATCGTCGCTAACCGCTTACGTTAACGTTTTGACAAGCGCGTGACTCCAGGAGAGGGAGAGGAGAGAGGAGTAAACGGGGGAGGAAAGGATAAGGGAAGGGGAGAGGGGAAGGGAGAAGGTAGAATGGGGGAGGAGAGGGGAGAGGGAAGAAGAGAGAGGGAAGGGGAGAACAAAGAATTGAGGGCAAGAGGGAACGAGAGAAGGGTGAAGAGGGGATGCAGGAAGGGTAAATAGAGAAAGGGAGGAAAAAAGACGAAGTGAAGGAGATAAAGAGGAAGAGGAGAGGAGGCGAAGGGAGCGCGATGGGAAGAAGGAGGAAAAAAGGATGGAGCAGGGGAGGAGAGAGAATGGGGGAAGGAGAAGGAAAAAGGGAAAAGAGGGAGGTGGGAAGGAAGAGGAAAAGGGATAGTAAAGAGACGAAGAGATAGAAAGAAGGGTAGAAAAGGGTGGGCCGAAGAAGGACGAAGAGGGAATGGAGAACTGGCGTAGATGGGAAGGGGAAGGAAAGAGAAGGAGAAAGGGGAGGGGGGCGGAGAGGGTATATACAGGTAAAAATGAGGAAGGAAATAAAGGAGGAGAAGGAAAGAGGAAGCAAAGGCGACAGATATATCGAATAGATATGGTGAATCGAGAAAAAAATAAAGGATAAAGAGAACGAGTTCGCATACATTCATAAATCAATAAGAATAATAACTATAATAATAATAATAACAACAATAACTATACGATACCAAAAAGAGAGCAATAACAAACGCAGCAAAAATAAAGACAACAATAACAAACAACCGAATAAGAGAGAGAGTAAAAAAAAAGAACGAATGCGAGAGAAAGAGAAAGAAAGAAAGAATGAGAGAGAGAAAATGGAACAAGAACAGAGCAAGAAGAGTAAGAGAACTCAAGTAGAAACCATAGAGGGAGGGGGGGGGGGAGGGGGGGGGCATCGTCCTCGGCCTCTCCACGCGACGTCGGGTCTTCGGGCGGAACAGCGGTCGCATGGAAAGGAAAATGAGACAGAGCGAGAGAAAGGGAGGAAAATGAGACAGAGCGAGAGAAAGGGAGGAAAATGAGACAGAGCGAGAGAAAGGGAGGAAAATGAGACAGATGAGACAGAGCGAGAGAAAGGGAGGAAGAGGAGCGAGAGAAAGGAGGAAGAGGGAGGGAGGAGAGTGATAGGGGGAAGAGGAGGGGGAGGTGGAGGGAAGGGGAGGGAGAGAAAGTGATAGGGGGAAGGAGGGGGAAAGTGATAGGGGGAAGAGGGAGGGGGAGGTGGAGGGAAGGAAAGTGATAGAGGGAAGGGGAGGGAGGGAGAGTGATAGGGGGAAGGGGAGGGGGAGGTGGAGGGAAGGGGAGGGAGAGAAAAGTATAGGGGTAAGGGAGGGAAGTGGAGGGAGGGAAAGTGATAGGGGGAGGAGGAGGGAAAGTGATAGGGGGAAGGGAGGGGGAGGTGGAGGGAAGGAAAAGTGATAGAGGGAAGGGGAGGGAGGGAGAGTGATAGGAGGAAGGGGAGGGGGAGGTGAGGGAAGGGAGGGAGAGAAAGTAATAGGGGTAGGGGGAGGGAAGTGGAGGGAGGGAAAGTGATAGGGGGAGGAGGAGGGAAAGTGATAGGGGAAAGGAGAAGGGAAGGGAGGGGAGGTGGAGGGAAGGAAAGTGATAGGGGGGAGGGGGGGGAGGGGGGGGGGAGGGGGGAGAGGGGGGGGAAGGGGGAAGGGGGGTAGAAGTGGGGGGATAGGGGAGGGGAGCGGGGAGGTGGAGGGAAGGAGGAGGGAGAGAAGAAAGTGATGGCGGTGGGAGGGGGAGGGAGGGGAGGGAGGGAAGTGATAGGGGCAGGGAGGGGAGGGAGAGGGAAGGGAAGGGGGGAGGGAGGGAAAGTGATAAGGGGGAGGAGAGGGAGAAGGAGGGAAGGGGAGAGGGAGAAAGTAGAAGGGGAGGCAGTGATGAGGGGTGAGGGAGAAGGGGAAAGGGAGCAAAGGGAGGGGAAGGGAGAAATGGAGAGGGAGGGAAGAAGGGTGAGAGAGAAAGAAAGGGAGGAGGGAGGAGGGAGAGAGGGAGGAGAGAGAGAGAGAGAGAGAGGGGAGAGAGAGAGAGAGAGAGAGGAGAGAGAAGAGAGAGAGAGAGAGAGAGAGAGAGAGAAGAGAGAGAAGAAGAAAGAGAGAGAGAAAGAAAGAGAGAGGAGAAAGAAAAGAGAGAGAGAGAGAGAGAGAGAGAGAGAGAGAGAGGAGAGAGAGAGAGAGAGAGAAGAAGAGAGAGAGAGAGAGAGAGAGAGAGAGAGAGAGAGAGAGAGAGAGAGGAGAGAGAGCGAGAAAGAAAGTAAGAAAGAAAGAAGAAAGAAAGAAAGAAAGAGAGAGAGAAAGAAAAGAAAGAAAGAAACGAGACAGACAGACAGAGGTACTGTTCTTCAAAAGGACGCCACCGTCGCCTTAACGTTGGCGCCATTGCCAGTCCAGCTCGAAGGCGAAAGGGTGACGAGCCGTGCAAAATGCGCGAATGATTTAGACTTAATGGCCATATCGAATTAGGCAAACATGCAGTCACTCTCTCGGCGCTGCGAATATATGTATGTATGTATGTATGTATGTATGTATATATATATATACTATATATATATATATATATATATATTATGTGTGTGTGTGTGTGTGTGTGTGTGTGTGTGTGTTGTGGTGTGTGGTGTGTGTGGGTGTGTGTGTGTGTGTGTGTGTGTTGTGTGGTGTGTGTGTGTGTGTGTGTGTGGTGTGTGTGTGTGCGTGTGCGTGTGCCGTGTGCGTGTGCGTGTGCGTGTGCGTGTGCGTGTGCGTGTGCGTGTGCGTGTGCGTGTGCGTGTTAGCATACACCCACATACAAGACAGAGACGAGAGAGACAAAGACAGACAAACAGACAGTACCGGGCGGCACCAAGAGCCGCACAGACGCGTCCCTCGCCCCTCGCCCCCCCCCCCAATCCCCGCCTTTCCCTTCGCATAATATAAAAGCAACAGTCGTTTTCTCGGTTGCGATTTCCGGCCGTTACGCAGAACCGATAATTACGCAAAAAAAAAAAAAAAAAAAAAAAACTTTGACCTGGATGAAAGGCA